AGGTGCTCCAGGATTGGCCAGCCCAGTCACAAAATATAAACATTATTGAGCATGTCTAGGCTAAGATGAAGGAGAAGGCATTGAAGATGAATCCAACGAATTTTTATGATGAGGAGTCCTGCAAGAACGCTTTCTTTGCCATTCCAGATGACTTTATTAATAAGTTATTAGAGTCATTGCAGAGATTTATGGATAGAGTCCTCCAAGCTCATGGGAGTCATACACAATATTATTCTTTTTCAACTGCACCATGACTTTATATTCTATAGTGGACATAATTTCTGTTAAGTGACGAGACTTTTCTCTAAGCAAAGTCAGACTTAAGTAAATAATTAAATATTAGGGCATGATCATATTTTATTTTGGTAAAATAAGCGTTATTTAGAGGCCTTTGCCTCTCATATAAATCACTTCTGATACCAAATCATTACTCAGAAGTCAAGTTATTATTTGTTGTTCCTAAAACTTGGATTGACAACAAGACTTTTGTCAGGTAGTAACAGTGTATATGTGTAAATGTGAGAGTATATGGGTGTTTCCTAGTGCTGGGTTGTAGCTGGAAGGCTGTCTGCTTTGTAAAACATATGTTGGATAAGTTGGTGGTTCATTTGCTGTGGCGACCCATGATGAATATAGAGACTAAGCTGAAGGAAAATCAGTAAATGATATGTAGAGTATAGTGTTTTAAATAGTTTCGGATGTTTAATTGTGGGTTTTGTTTATCATTGAATTTAAACGAAACACTCAGTATCCTTTTGCATTGTTGCTATATAATAATATCTTTATCAAGTAAGCAGTTTAAGAGAATCTACAAGTATCATAACCTCCTCTTTCCCCTTCAGGGTTTTCTTCTTGGAGATTACTGATGACATCGCTATCGAAAGGCTAGCACTTAGGGCTGTGGATCCTGTGACAGGAGAATGGTGAGAAAGAATCTGCTTAACTTAGCTGCTTGTAAATTTGTTTATTAATAATCCATTCCATTTGCTTCCACCAAAGGCATAACCGCATTCTGAATGTTGCATTTGAACTCCGCAGGTACCACAGCGTGTATAAACCTCCTCCTGGTCCGGAAGTTCAAGCACGGCTTCGGTTTAACCCACAGCATTCAGAGGCACAGCTGTTAATGAGGCTTAAGGAATACTGGAGCCAAACAGTGCGCCTGCAGGCCTTCTACCCACAGGCAGTGTACATCAACGCTGACCAGGACCCACACACTGTGTTTGAGTCACTGGAGAGTCGGCTAGTGGGCCAACTACCTAAAGTCCTGTCTAACCAGCAAACAAATGAGAACTAATGCTCTTGAAACACTTTAAAAAAGAGATACACCACCCAAAAACTGAAAACTTGTGTAATCACAAATTGTTTGACTTATGGAACACAAATATAGATTTAAAAATAGAGCAATTTGAAAATCCAAACAGTGGATGAACTTAAAATAAACATGCAAAAAGTAACAATGGTAATCTAAAATCTTTAGATGTTGACTTGAAAAAGGAAAACTAATATTATTATTTTTAGTTTTACACTATAAACTATTTCTTCCAACTTTTGCAAATTTGACATTTGACATAGAGATTAGCACAATGTGAAAGAAGGGATGTGACAGTATAGAGGTGCTGTATGTCATTTCTTTTGTGAGTTTCACTTACATGAGTCTTCATAACATACTAATGATTAGGTCAAATGTTAAATCACAGTATCATCAACTTATTAGTGGAAAAGTGGCACATTCATCCACTGTTGTTTGTACTAAAATGAAGGATTTTCCTAAATAAAATACATTTGCCTAGCCCGGCCTCTGAACATAGCCATCACTGGGGTCATAACCAATTATAATAAAATGTATGAACGAGTTGTTCTCTAAATTATCCTCTAAATAAAAGCAGTCATGAATTGCTGTGGGATCACAATGGAAGTCACATGACAGTTGCCTGAAAATGATGGTATATAGAGGAAAAAAATGAAGGTCTTGGTGTTTTTATTACACACAGTTATCATTTCAAAAGGCACTGATTAATCTACTTAGGTTATAGATGTATTAATGCCATGTTGGTTTAGTGTGGTTTAAAGTATCTGTCCAAAAATTCTAAAAATCCAAAAGGAAAGAAGCTTATTTACATATGGGAATGCATGAAAAGTGATTAAAATATTTTTTGGGTGGATTATCTCTTTAATCATTCACACAGATCAATTTAATACCAATACCAATTCTTTATCAATACATAATGCAAAAGTTTGATAGGCTACTAAAAAACTGCTTATGAATTTGTCTTGGTCTTAGCTCTAATTTAATAAACACTACATGTCTCCAAATGACCAAAGCAATGTCGTCATTCATGCCGTTTGACCATGTGTGCGCTCATGGGAGTGCATGGCACCTGCTAATTCGACGTATGTTTAATTAACATAGCAGCGAAAGGCAGACTGGCCAGAACCTTTGTGATGGTGGGTAGTATTAGTTTCGCTTCAGTGCTCTCGTGCTGAGGAAACCAGTCAACGGTGCTTTGATTATTAAATTCGCTTTCCTTCACCCTTCCCTTCTTTGGGGTCACTGGATGATTCCCACAGGGGGCAATGGAGTTAAGTACACTGGTTAGAGGAACATGTTAACAGGCCGATTTTCAAATTCCCCTCAGATAGTGTGCTATGACAGGCAGACACTGACTTAATTACAGCAGATGAGGTCCAGAATATGCATCTCCTCTGAATATGTAAACACCAGGGTCAGCATTTATCCAAGGAGAGAGAGACGAGGCTGCAAAATTAAATAGGTCTGAATAAGGAAGAATTTCTTGAGCTCCCTTTGCTTCTGTAGCACTGTTTATACTTATACTGTGAACAAAGACACATTTTCAGCAAATGTTTTTACTTAAAATGGCACAGACAAAAAAAAAAAAAGATTTGTATTGTAGCTTTTTGCACATGTATAGAAGTAGTGCTTAATAGACATCTCTACTTGTTTATACAAGAACTGTATACATGAACCACATTCTGCCTTTTAAAAAGACATGTGGTTCATTGCAATCAAAATGGGACTTTCAACAGGAAGCATTGTATTATTTGGGAGTATGCTTGAGTAATTGCAGAAGTAACCATGAACAAAATAGGAAAATAAAAAATTATAATATAATAACTTTAATAGAAATCATTATTTCATCATTTACGGGATGGTTGCTCAGTGGTTCGCACTGTCACCTCACAGCAAAAACAGGGTGTCCGTATGGTCTTAAAAAGTATTAAAAGTTGATAAATCAATGTAGAGAAATTTAAGACCCTTAAAAAGTACTAAAAGGTCCTAAATGCTATTTTGCAAGGTATTAAATTTTATATAATGTTTGATTTTGCAATGTATGGTGTATGCTAAAGTTTGCCTGAATTAAGTCTGCGAATATCAGGATTCTGTGTAGTTTTTGAAATCAATGACATCATGCTGCTTTGTTTACTGCAGTAACCAAGTAACCATTATTTCTGCAGTTCTATAGGCGCTGACCTGCTGAATTAGCTAGATTTAATAGATTTATATTCAGTATATGCATAATGTTTTAGTTTTGGATTAGTTTCTTACATTAATATTTAGTGAATATAGTGTAATTTAAAATCTCACCAGTGTTTCTGGTTGAAAAGTGATTATAAGGTATGAAAATGTATGAAAAGAGTCTTAAAAAAAGGTCTTGAAAGGGTGTCCTTTGGGTGCTCCGGTTTCCCCCACAGTCCAAAGACATGCACTATAGATGAATAGGATGAACTAATTTGGCGCGCGTGTGTGTGTGTGTGTGTGTGTGTGTGTGTGTGTGTGTGTGTGTGTGTGTGTGTGTGTGTGTGTGTGTTTCCCAGTACTGGATTGCAGTTAGAAGGGCAGCCGCTGTGTAAAACATATGCTGGATTAGTTGGCGGTTTATTCCACAGTGGCGACTGCTGATTACTAAGGGACTAAGCCAAAGGAAAATAAATAAATGATTGAATTTTAGCATATTTATGGTTTAAGTGTATTTTATAATACTATATAAACAGTGTTGTGCTTTTCAACCTGGAAGCCCCTGCAAAAATCTGTCCACAGGATTTATTTAATCTAAAATCTTAATATAAAAACTAAATAAACAAATAAATAAAAATCAGAATGTTGGTAAAATAACTCATCTCAACAACATTTTTTTTTTTTTTTTTATTTAAATAGTTTTTAAAAAGTGAAGAGACATTTGTAACACTTGGTAATAGGGTTTCATTTGTTAATATTGGTTAACTATATACTATATTGGGTGACGCGGTGGAGAAGGTGGTAGCACATTCGCCTCACAGCAAGAAGGTCGCTGTTTCGAGCCTTGGCTGGCTCAAGTGGCATTTCTGTGTGGAGTTTGCATGTTCTCGTGTTTGCGTGGCTTTCCTTCGGGTGCTTCTGTTTCCCCCACAAGTCCAAATACATGTTATAGGTGAATTGGGTATGCTAAAAATTGACTGTAGTGTATGAGTGTGTGTGAAAAATTGTGTATGGGTGTTTCCCAGTAATGGGTTGTGTCTGGAAGGGCATCCAAAACATATGCTGGATAAGTTGGCGGTTCATTCTGCTGTGGCGACCCCAGATTAATAAAGGGACTAAGCTGAAAAGAAAATCAATGATACTATATTAGATACATTTTAAAATAGACTGTCCTGCTTTTAATGATTTCAGAAGACTTTATAAAATAAACTCTCTTAAGGAAATGTTTAGCAAAGTGACACCTGGAAAGTTAAACAGTTTACAATTGTTATCATGTAATAGCGCTAAAAATCTTGTTTAATTTATGCATTTATTTGTTTGTTGATTTTTAATTGTATATCAATTATTAAAATGTCATTCCCATGAAAATAGCCTTGGTTGCTGAAATGGAATTAAATAAAAATAAAATAAATTGCATTACTATGTTTGATAAAAACTGAAAAAAATCATACAACATTTATTTATTTTATTATTGCAGATCAGTAATATAGCACTATACATTATTAAATATGCATAATTAAAATTTCCATTAATTAAAATTTCCAGAGTTCCATTAATCAGCGCACTTTAATTTAACGACTTTACTTACAAATAACATTAACAAAATGAGTAAAACATTCACAGTTACTCTGCTTCACGCGTGGGGGCTTTTATTTTGGTAACGTCATCACCCGGAAATGCCTTCAACTTGTAGTGGACGGAGTAAAAACACGTGTGAAACTTTTCTCTCTAGATGTGCAGTTGTTTACATTGAATATTCACGGTGTAAACGTTAACGCCATGCGCATTTAACGTGCTGCTGACATTTCCGTCACTCGAATAAAGGATAATATTTCCTTTAGCTAGCGCGAGTGTTCTGTCAGAGCGTGGTATAGATATTTTACTAGTACACCTCTTGTTTTAAAAGGGGTTTACAACCTGTTTGCGGTCATGGCTGAGGACACGCTGATGCTCAACATCTCCTCAGGTTCTGTACAGTTTAACAGAAAAACAAACCAGAAGCATTTGTCATCATCAGAGAAATGGGCACAGGTAAGTCAGTCCTGCACATCCTGTCAGTTTCACACTAATGTAACGTTACTTACATCACGCAGATTTGCTTCAGATTGAATGTGAAGGGCTGAACCCTGTGTGTTGACGTTACAGAAAAAGAGAGTGGCAAAAAGGAAGGCTGCCGTTGAGCCCCAAGAGAGCAGCGCCTCTAAACAGAGGAAGATTAATCAAACTGGTCAACAGCACGCACAAAAGCAAACGCTGCAAACCCCTAGAAGCCCCTCTCAGAGGAGCAATAACAGAGACACAGAGGAGAGCCCGGTCCAGAGAGAAAACTCAGAAGCAAAGTCCCCATCAAAGGTGAAAACATTTCCAAAGAAAGCTCCCACAGAGCATGAAGACCATGGCAGACCATTTATCAAGACATCGTCTCTCTTCAGAAACAACCCAGAGATCCCTGATGTCCTCAGGTAGATGCAACACATTTGAGGTTGTACGAATAGTCTATTCTCTCGGATTTGACCTTTCAATGCAATTTACCTGTCTTTTTTTCTTCTTCTTTTAGTCCTGCTGTAAATCAAGTGAAGGAGAAAGTCTTCACCAGCAACACGTTTGAAGAGCTGAATCTGCATCCACATCTGGTGAGAGGAAGAACAAACCGAAACGTTTCTCAAGTCAAATGCTCCTCCTGTATTTATTCATATGCATTTCTGCTCTCAACTATTTGACAGGTGGCCACGCTCCATAAGGTGTTGAACGTTAGCAGTATGACGAGGTACTGCAAGTTCATCTTACACTTTGTTTTGTCCCCTAGCTTTGTTTTGTTTTGTAATTGACATTGTCTCTCTTTTAGTGTCCAGAAACAGACCATACCAGTGCTGATGTCTGGTAAAGATGCTGTAGTGCGCTCCCAGACTGGATCAGGTGGGGTTTTTGATGTAAATAAATTTTATTAAATTAAAATATAAAAATATAAGATGTATAACCGAATTACTAGAGTAACAAAATGTTGAGTGTCATATTAAACATTAAATTGAATTTTATATTGAATGTGTGGTTTGAAAACTATAAAAATAGAAGTCATGAAAGTGTTTGTTAGAGAAAGAATGTGCTGTATGTAAGGTTTGTTTATTTATGTGTTGTACAGGGAAAACATTGGCATATGGGATTCCAATGGTTCAGTTTTTACAAGCGATTCAACCGAAAGTCAAGGCAAGTCAAGTCTTGAACAACTCAATTTAAAAAAAATAATTTTAACAGTAAAGTTACTACAGTGAAAAAATGGTTATCAGTATGAATACCCATACTTTACCAGAATCCGGTAAATAACCATAAATTGACATTACCAGAATTCCCTACGTGGCACTTCACATTTGATGTGTTATTGTTGAAATAACTCTTTTTCTATTTTTTTATTTAACTTGTTAGTTATATACATATTTTATCCGTTTAATTTAAAACCAGAAAAAATGTTGCTACTGTGTTTGTTATAATGTGTTTCTGACAGCCAATGCTGCCTTTGACATTTTGCTTTTCTTTTTCGTTTAAAAAAAAAAAAAAATTAACAGTGAAATTTGACCAATGTACTATTTTCAGCTCATGCTTTGTTCGGTTGTAGTTTACGTTCTGAAATATATATAAATATATATTGTAATTGTAATTGTGAAACCACTTGGACAAACCAATCAACCCTTGTTTATTGAGCTCTCTTTTCACCCTCATCGAAATGTAAACAGCCTCTGCTGATTAGCTTTAGGTGTGTTTTTCCCCAAACTATTTTATTTTTTATTTATTTATTTATTTTTTGTTGTTGTTTTTTTGAACATTATTAACTGCACCTCAGTGCTGAACATTTACACAGAGTTTAACCTATGGCTGCAATGAATGCAAAACAGGGCAGTTTGTATAAGTCTACATTATAGTCAACGTTTAAATCCCTGCTCACGGACCTTTCTTCTTGTCTAATTGCTGTCCTATCATCCAGTTACTGTTCTACTGTGCCAAAAGAAGCCTGCAAAAAATAAATCTTTTAATAAAATTTCTACTACATTTTGTACTTTGTCAAAAAATTTGCTAAGGATCTGTTTTTACAGTTATAAACATCAACTTTCGGTATTATAAAGGAACATTTTTTTTAATTTTTCAGAGATCGGATGGGCCTTTAGCTGTTGTGATTGTTCCAACCAGAGAGGTACTTTATTGTAGTTATTCTAAATAATGTCATTTTAAATTTCTCTTTATGTACTTATTGTGTTTCTGTCTAAAATGCCTCTCTGATTTCTGTCCCTCAGCTTGCCTTGCAGAGCTTTCAGATGTTTCAGAAGCTTCTTAGAGTGAGAATTTACCTCTTTTTCTATATTTCTGAAGTCATTGAAATTTCACAAAAATGCTGGTCTTTAAAAAAAAAAAAAAACTTAATATATGCATGTATTTGTTTTAGCCTTTCACCTGGATTGTTCCAGGAGTTTTAATGGGAGGAGAGAAAAAGAAAGCAGAAAAAGCCAGGTAAACAATATATAATTTTTGATTAATAATAATAATAATAATTCCTTACATTTATATAGCGCTTTTCTGGGCACTCAAAGCGCTTTACACAGTGGGGGGAATCTCCTCATCCACCACCAGTGTGCAGCATCCACCTGGATGACACGACGGCAGCCATTTTGCGCCAGACCGCACACCACACACCAGCTGATTGGTGGAGAGGAGACAGTGATGCAGCCAATTGAATATGGGGATGGTTAGGAGGCCATGATGGACAAAGGCCAGTGGGCAGATTTGGCCAGGATGCCGGGGTTAAACCCCTACTATTTTTCGAAGAACATCCTGGGATTTTTAACAACCACAGAGAGTCGGGACCTCGGTTTAGCGTCTCATCCGAAAGACGCGCTCACTGAGCAGTATAGCGTCCCCGTCACTATACTGGGGCATTAGGACCCACACAGACCGCAGGTTGGGCGCCCCCTGCTGGCCTCACTAACACCACTTCCGGCAGCAACCTAGCTTTCCCATGTGGTCTCCCATCCAGGTACTGACCGGGCGCAGCCCTGCTTAGCTTAAGTGGGCGACCATGTGAGAGTTGCAGAGAGCTAGCTGCCGGCTAGATTTCAGTTCAAATGATTTTAACTCCATTTTGATTAGTTTGTTTCTTAACTGCAAATAAACAGCATTTCAGATATTTGGGTTCTGTAAGATTTAATACTTTTTATGAATATATATCTTTCAGCATGGATGCATTAAATTAGAAAAAACATCTGTAATGCTTTTTTTGTTCATTTATTTACAGCTTCTGTGAGCATAAGAGACTTCAGAACCCATACAAATCTTAGACACCTAACATTTGACAGTAATCTACATTCAACAGTATGTCTTTGATCTTTCAGTGTTTTTACTTGTCTTTGTTTGACTTTGTGTTGACTTCAGACTGCGGAAGGGCATAAATGTTCTGATCTCGACTCCAGGCCGACTGGTGGACCACATCAAGAACACACTAAGTATTGCTTTCAGTGCTGTGCGCTGGCTCATTCTGGATGAAGCTGACAGGTCAGTGTGATTACTAATTTGATCAGATAATGTCATTGTGTGATGCACAAAGCTAAATACCTGTCTTATTCATAGTGAGATTTTCATTAATGACTATTTACATTTGTAGTATCATGTGTTATAACCAGTAATCTTGCTCGTCCATTAAAGGATTTTGGATTTGGGCTTTGAGAAAGATCTGACTGTGATTCTGAATGCACTGAACGCCGCTGGACCCGACAGGCAAAATGTGCTGCTTTCAGCTACTATAACTGAAGGTAAAGCTGTTCACTAATGCTTTCACACAATGAGGTAAAGTTTGAGTGAATGTAAAGTTGAGACAGTTAATGCTCACTATATACAGTAGGAACTACATCATTGACTTTATTCTAACAGAAGCAGCTTGGAATAATCTGACAGGCCCTTTATCTCTGTGAATAGCAAAAGTTTTCAAGGACCTTTCCAGTTTAAGCAGCTCTACTTCGTCACAATAACGTCTTACTCTTCCAACATTTTCGATCACAAAAGCATTTTGGGTGACAATCTACATATGTACGCGAGCGCTTAAGCTGATCGTGTTCTCTGCACTTGCAGGACTGTCCCGATTAGCCAGTATCAGTATGAAGGATCCTGTGAGTGTCCATGTGTCAGAGGGGAGTGAGGAGACAGTTGAAGCGTGTCCCCAGGCGGCCCCTCAGGCTCTGTCAGACAGCTACGCAGTGCCTGAGAGACTACAGCAGCACGTGGTGGTGGTGCCCAGCAAGCTCCACCTGGTCTGTTTGGCTGCCTTTATTCTGGCCAAATGCAAGGTAGAGAGGACCGTTTGTTAATCCCCACTTATTAATGTGCAGTGTTATGCTGCAGATCAACTCTTGTTATTTCTGTTTGTATATAGTTTTTTTTTTTTTTTTTTTTTTAAAGAAAATGCTTAATCTCACTAAGGCATATGCAGATATTCTACATTATATTGTAATAATGAGATGGCACAATTTTGATGTCATGGATACTTCAAAATATTGTGAATAATTATTTAAGCTTTAAGAGTGCTTTTGGAGAATATTCACGTTGTATTTGCAGAGGTGTCCATAACAGCGGCAAATATTTGGAGACTTAATTGCATTGCTTAATAGTTCAAACATTTTCACATGAATCTTCCCTACTATATGCTAAAATGTTGATTGAAAATTGTGTAAATATTTATAAGGCTATTGTATGTTAATACTGTGAAATACAGCTTTAATAGTTCACATTGGTTAATTTAACTAAATTAAAATGAAAAGTACAAAAACAAATGCCTTTATTAATCTTAGATGATGTTAAGTTCTTAGTTAATGTCTAGTAACACGTTAAAAACAGTCTTAACCTGATTACAAGTCATTAGCATTTTATTAAATGGAGTTAAGTATTGTCATGATACCATATACCATGATATAAGCTCCAGGAATTAATCGCAACAAGAAAATTTGATACTGCCTTAAACCTAATTGTCACTGAGGCTTCATTCTTCAATGAAAAAATGCAAACCAATGCCTTTTAAAAATCAGCTTAAATTTTTATATGTTAAACAAATACCTTTGTTTATTCATGTGAGGGCAAAGTTGTATTTGTATCAGCTCTTCAGTTTTCATGCTTAAAATGTTACTTTTGCTGCTTCTTCAAACTACCTTTTTAATATAAGTTGAACCAAAACAATATAATATTCAATCCAATTAAATTTGTAAAAACGATTAATTTAGCTTTGTCAATTTGTATTGGGACGACATGAAGAAATTAAGTAGATCCTGGCATTTTTTACAGTGCGTGACCCTTTAAAAATTATTTTGATTTAATGATTTGTGCTAAAGAAACTTTATTATTATTATTAATATTATTGCCAAAAACGTTTGTTAAAATACAGTTGCCTATAGATTTTGAGGAAGCTGTAAGACATTTTCGGATTTTATTTGGTAAATAAAAAACAGATTTGGTTTAAAATAGGAATATTTTTTTAACATTATAATTTTTTTTATCATCACTTTTGATCAATTTATTGCTTTCTCATTGGATAAAAGTATACTAATTAAAGCTTTGGGTGGAATGGTAGTCTGAACACAATTGTTAGAATGTAAAATTCACAGATGGCTTTCTTGAATACTGCACTATCATTCACAGTAGTAGCCATGGTTACATACTGATGTTTACCACGTTTTTGTTCATAGTTTGAGCAGCGTCAGAAGTTGATCATCTTCATATCCAGCTGTGAAGCTGTAGAGTTTCTGCTCAATCTCTTTACTGCAGTCCTCTGTGAAATTCCCAGCAACACCTCATCTAAAAGTACCTCATGCCTCAACTTCTACAGACTGCATGGCAACATGAGACAGGAGGTGAGACATTTTATGCCAATTTAAAGATTTTTTTTTTAAGATTTTTTCTATCCGAAGTCCAGTTAGTCAAGACTTTTACATAGAATGTATATTAGTCAAAATATTGTAATTTTAATTTGTTTATTTTTAATTGAATAGACCAATTCTTATTGCATGTGTTGCTTTATAGTTGAATATGAATGTCCGAGTTATTTATCCAAAGTATAGGTGACTTTTTCTGCTGTAAAATGTTAATGGAAGATTTTAACTAAATATTTCAGTGAATAGTGATTCGTATAATGATTTTATGAATTCATATTCTATGGTTACCATTCCTTTGAGATTCAATACACAAACACACAGGCAAAACCACCCAAAAATACCCAGTGCTCCTGATGATACACTGATCTTTTAAGTGAATTAAATTGTTTTGCAAGAAAGTGAATGATATTTACAGCATTATTAAAAACAGTCCTTCATGTGCTTGTGCAAAGTAACACGCGAGATCATTTTCAGCTTTTTAAATATAAATCGAAGCATCATCTAAGATGCTGAGTGACATTTGATGAATAGTTTGATGCATGCATCTCTTATTTTCTCCCTCTTAAATAAACAGCATCAGCTCACATGCATTATTATGCAACAAAAAGTGTTTAGTTTCAGCCATTACTCAGGTCTTTAGTGTCACATAAAAAATTTTATTAGTTCAAAGATTCTTTGATAAATATACATTTGAAAGGGATATCAATGTATAAAAAGACGGCAGTGTATGTTTTTATTTTTTTAAGTCCAAGAAAAGTTTTTTTTTCTTGAAATATTCTCTTTAATGCTCACTGTATCTTGGTCGGTAAAGTATTTTTAGTTTTCTAGGTTAATATTAGGATCCCTGTGGTTATGAAAAACTAGAAAATATCAGGGGCTTTTAAACTCATGCTATTCAGACCTGAGAAGCAATAAAATCTTAAAATAATCTGCATGGTTCTATTATGCGAATCTCTAAAATATTTAATTGAAAAGAAATAGCTTTTAGTGAGTGCAGTAGCTATAAGAATTTGTCTTTATTCATGAACCACCGAGCACAGAGTCTTTGAACTTTTGGATATCATCCTCCAAGTATAAGCAGTGTTTATTAATATATAATGTAATACATTTAGATTAATTTACAGCTTGCCTATCTATCTTGCTAAAAATACAGTCTCACTGTTATTTAATCAGAAATTAAATAATCAGATTTGCATCTAAAGGAGCATACTAAACTACCCTCTCCCAAAAAGACCATGTCTCTTAAAAGCATCCAGAAGCACTAGCAGCATATGACACCAGGTTTGACCATGATGGTCTGGTTGACCAGTAGGGTCTGCCGGCTCTTGGCCAGCTGGCGTTAAGGCAGCAGCAGCAGTCAGTGCCCTGTGGCAGTGTCAGGGGAACTGCATCCTGCCACTGTCCAGCCTTCAGCCTCACCCCCTCACGCATGGAGCTGCCATGGGTTGCCCATATGGCACTGGAAGGGCGAGGGACTCTGGAGCCTCTTCCTCAGATGTATGAGAGAGCAGGTCTGGGTGTGGTGCTGGCCTGTAGTGTTATGGATGGGTTTGGTAATGGGACGGCGCAGGCTGAGCTCTGGACGCCTCCTCCGATAAGGAGAACCGCAGGAGACGGGCAGCTGTTCCAGCACATAACAGATTGTGCTCAATGCCGAAGAAGAGAGAGGAGCTGTCGGACAACCCATCCTTAAATGGGCTCATATCAGCGCTTCTGCTTCATCTTTTGTCCCAATATTTAATGTGCCTCTTAATAGTTTTGATATAATAGTGTTCAAAATTAATTAGAGTTTCTTTCATCTGTTGAACACAAAAGGTGCTGGAGAATATTAGAAACCAGTAGCCATTCACCTCAATAGTCATTTTTCCTACTATGAATGTCAGTGGTCTACAGTTTTGAGTATTATTAATATTTACTTTAGTGTTTAACAGGAAAAAAATAGTTTATTTTTCTGGGAAAGTCCCTGAAATTAACAGAAATCTTTTCTTTCAGGGAGTCCTGACTAAGATGACCTCAAAAAACATGTTTCACAATTACCCCACCTTTAAGACAAATAAAACATACAAAACATATTCAAGGCAGGAATCATACATCAACGTCCTAGTTAAAACAACAAGAAGTCTTTTTCAGTTCATGGTTTAATAAATATTTAAAATTAGCCAAAGAAGGAATTAGATCTAAATGTGTAAGTGATATAAATTTAGGAAATAAATTAATGAAAGTTCAAATAAACGTGTAAAAGTTTGGGTGAACTTCCTCTTAAACTATAAAGTTTCTCTTTTTTTCTCTTCAAAATATATTTATTGGCTTTTGTTTGAACTTCAGAACTGAAACATTAGGGAAAAAGGTCATAAAATGATTCTGAAGTTATGAAGTTTATTTTCCCAATTTCTGTTTAACGGAGAGACTCAATTCCAAACATAATAGTGTTAATAGTTAATTTCTAATAACTGATTTATTTTATCTTTGCCATAATGACAGCAAATAATATTTTTCAAGACATTTCTATACAACTTAAAGTGACATTTAAAGGCTTAACTAGGTTAAATAGGTTAACAAGGCAGGTTAGGGTATTTAGGCAAGTTATTGTATAACGATGGTTTGTTCTGTAGACTTTTGAAAAAATATTTAGCTTTAAGGGGCTAATAATATTGACCTTAAAATGTTTTTAAAAGACTTTCTCAAGAAAAAATATTATCAGACATACTGTGAAAATTTCCCTGCTCTGTTAACGATCGTTTGGGAAATATTTAAAAATGAAACAATTAAAAGGGGGCTAATAATTCTGACTTAAACTGTATGTTATGTGGACATTATAGCTTTTCTCTTTTATACCATATTTTGTTTTGAACATGCCTATTTTTATTTATTTTTTTTACTTTTTTTAGGAGCGCACTGAAGTCTTCCAAGAGTTCTCTCAGTGTAAAACTGGCATTCTGCTGTGTACGGTGGGTAATTTCACCTGACATCATTTGTATATTGACTGACACTAACAACAGTCTAAAGCAGCAAGGATAATTTAGGTTCCTTTTAAAAATCTATAAAAAATTGTTAGCATTTGACACGTTGCTACATTAATCTGATGATGTGGCTCAAGTTGCATAGCAGTCAGTTGATATGAAATTTTAGGGACAGGTGTGTGTGTGTGTCCACCTCCTCCTCCACCATGCTGTCACACTGCAGAGGAGCTCCTGGAGTGAACGAGTGCCTCTGTTCCTGCTGACAGCCTGGCATGACATTGTGTTGCTCTCCATCTGTACCAACTCTATAGCTGCAGACTCCAGACACCGCAGCACACTTTTTACACTCGCTGAGTTTGAGAGCTGGAGTTAAGATTGAGAAGTGTCTGAATGGTCATTCTTAAAAAAAGTGATGTGGTGTAGTGGTTAAAGTTCAAGGCTTGTGGGATCTAGTCTGCTTCCTTATAGTTACACAGAGAAAAGCATGAATGTTGGTTTGGGTTTATTGGTAAAACAGTGTAGTGTGTCAGTGACATACAAATGTGTAAAGTACAGTAGAGTGAATTATGGTTTTGTTGGACATTGTTTGCACTTATAACAAATAATGCCTCATTCGAGACAAACCAAGCTAAAATAGAATTACATGTGATAGATTTTTGGTGTATAAGACGACTAGAATTTAATGGCATTACTCTTTAAACAGCCACATTATGCAGTGGTTTACATATTAATATTTATACATAATGTCATTTTAATATTATGTATTTAATTAAGTTTGACATATTGGTCCCACTTTATATTGTGGCCTTAACTAATATGTACTTACATAGGAATTAATAGTTTACTATAATGTACTTATTGTGTAAATACATGCATTTACTGTGTACTTATGCTTGATTAAATACCAGTATGTATTTACATCTGTAATTAACTTTTGTAATTACATTTGTAAATACAATGTTGACCATCCCCTACACCTTAACCCACCCTTAAACCTACCCATACCACCAAATCTGTCCATAACAAAACCTCTATCCCAACTCAAGAGCACCACAAGTGTTCTCAAATACATTATGAACACAGTAAGTACATTGTATTTATTTTCTGATGGAAGTACATAGTAGTTAAGGCCACTTAATATAAAGTGGGACCGACATATTTATAAATATTTAGAATGTGTATTTTGTTGGTTTATTTTCTGTTTGTTTGGTGTTCTTCCATACAATACTTGACTTAATTGTTATTTCAATCAGGGAAAATCCTCAGAATTTTGTGATACCTGGGAGGTGTTTTTGAACTTTAACCATTGAAGAAGCTTTGGAAGTGTGAAGTTGTGGAATGTGAATAAGTGTTTGATTGGATTTCTTTTTATTTTTTATTTATATATTATTATTATTATTTTAAGTAAGGATTAATATTTAATTTTTATTTTTCCCTTAACCTGTCTGGGGTAAGTTTTGGCTATTGGGGTTTGATTTATTGTACAACCTTGAAAAATGATTAAAGACATGTTGTACAGGTTGTAATTGTTTTAGTTTTTCAGCGTAATGTAAAATATTATCCTACCAACTAGCTGAAAGAAGTTTAGTTTGTCATCTAATATTTATATTTATCATCCCATACACTGCTTTTCATAGCTGTCCTTGTTGTATACATAGTTTTTTTTAACAAAGTATGTAAAATGTTATTTCAACTGGGCTTGAAATTAACCTTTATTTCTTGGTAGCGGCACCGGTGCTCCTAACTAAAAAAAATGTAGGCGCACCAGACAAAATTTAGTGACACCCACCAAAAATTATGAGCACTGTTACTACATGCTTTATATTAACAGATTTATTGCATTTGAAAAAATCAACTCTAATCAAAACTAACAAATAAACTAAAATCTGCACACACTGCTTGACGTGAATAAAATTAGCTGAATTAACAATAACGGTACTGTTCTCACGGGTGCTGTCTGATATTGCACAGTTGATATTGACATATTTTTTTGCATACGGCATCTTAATAGCAATACTTTTGTTTACTGCAGCAAAGTTGACATGACAACTGTTTTAAACCATTGCTGAGCGCTGCGTTTGGTGTTTTTAGGTGCAAATAGGCTTATGCGTGAATGCCTCCTAATTCCGCACATGGTAAACATTTTGCTGTGAAAACCGGTCGCATGACCACAATTTTATGCACTCACACAAATGCTCTCAAATATATTTTGACCAAACGGTTGCAATTTCAAGCCCTGTTCAATGTAAAATCTCATTTCAACATCATTTTACTAAAGATTTTAATAGTTTATTACAATAAACTTTTATATTAATATTATTAATAGTTTATTACCATAATAATAATGATAGCAGTGTTTCCACATTTCTCTAAAACATCTGATGTGCTTATTTTGTTTCAAGTTCATAGTTTAAATGCTGGTTAAATATTTAATAGTTTTTTGTTTATTTTTCCCTCAGGATGTAGCTGCACGTGGTTTGGATTTGCCTCAGGTTACTTGGATTGTTCAGGTTTGATTTCTTCATGTTCAAGATTTTATCATTTGCATAATTGCCAGTGTGCAACATATAAACAAATTTATTCAATTTCTTCACAAAACTTCTAAATATTCTGTATATTTTTAAATGAGTGTCATGTTTCTGTTTTAGTACAATCCTCCAGTTTCTGCAGCAGAATATGTTCATCGTGTGGGCCGCACAGCTCGAATCGGAGCTCAGGGTAGCAGCCTGCTCTTTCTCACCCCCTCCGAGACCGCTTTTGTGGATGTGCTGGCCAATCACAACATCAGGTGTGTGACAGGCCTCTCTCTTATCTATCAGGTACTTCTCATTTCAGTGAACTCCTGTGGGACCAGTCCTCTGTGATGGTGGATGAGCTCCAGTCCCTGACAATGTGATTAAAGATGGTCAAACTGCTCTTGTCTCTGTTCCAAAGCCCACAATACAGCAGTCGAGAGCTGGACTGATGAGTCTGTGCTGGTGTGAAGAGAAAACACACTCTCAGTCTCTCTGCGTGAATCTGCTCTGCTGGCACAGGGGCTCTAGCATTTGCCTCATGTTAAGGTTTAGAGTGCTAAAGGAAGGCGTTTGGTTGGGTTACTGTTGCAGAGCATGGTCTGTAAAGCTGACTAGAAAACTAGTGTGTATGTTTTATTTATTTTTAATATATGTCCTCAACTTTTGGCTTCTCTATTCCTCAGTTTGTCTGAGATGAAGATGGTGGACATCCTGTCCACACTAATGAAAGACGAGCGCTTTAAAGGCAGAGGGAAATGGGACAGCAAGGTAAATTTTGACATCTTAAGTCCAAAGAGTGCTTTGGTTTTTACCCTTGGGCATCAATTTAAAAAGGTTCTAAAAAGGTTATTGAATGTTTTATACTTTCTATATTAGGGCCGTCAATCAGATAAAATATTTCATCTCAATTAATGGCATGATTGCTATGAGTTAACTTGTGATAAATTGCACATTTTTCTAGGTATATCTTAAATTATTGTAAAGATGAATTTTGAAACCGCATAACAATAACATCAGGGAATTAAGTGTCTCTATAAAACATTGTTTTATACAGATGCACCGAAATGAAAACGAAGCATGATGAAGGACTTGGCAGAAAAATTATTTTCTGTTTTTTCCCTCCAATACATTTAGCAAAGTTTTTACCATGGCATAAATAAAAACGTCAAAAAGGGTTTTTGGTCAAGATTTTTTCTTGGTGTTTAAAGAAAAATAATCAATTACAAAAGTACAATAAATACATAAATGAAAAAGGGAAAAAAAAAGAATATATATATATATATATATATATATATATATATTTTTTTTTTTTTTTTTTTTTTTTTTTTTTTTACACAACATTTTTAATGTTCCAGCAGACAGTAGATTAGCAATATAGAATATAGGCTAATAATACAGAATATAGGCTAACTTTCAGGAAGTGTTTAAAAAAATATATATATTTTGTGAGCATATCTAAATGAATGTTTAGAAAAATGCTCTTTGTAGCTCATGGGCCTTTAATGGCTTTTCTGAGTTAAAAGTGTTGAGACATTATTTAAATGTGGTTTATCTACTTGCATGCAGACGAAATAATGATGAAGTAATTACAAGAAATGAGATGCATTTAAATATGAGAAACTGTTTCTTTCATCAATATTCTTAGGGTGCTTTCACACTAGCACTTTTGGTCTGCACCCAGGTTCGTTTGGTTTTAGAGTACAGTACAATTAGCCAGTGTAACCTCTGTCTTCTGAACTCTGGTGCGCACTTGTGAACCATACCCGGGTCCACCTGAAAGAGGTTGTCTGGGGTACGGTTCACGTGAACTCTGGTCTGGTTCACTTGTGGTATGAACACAATCCTACCAAATGACGGAAGTGAACTGCTAACAGTACAACAAACTATCATTTTTAGATTGTTCATCCCTGTCTACATGTCTGTGTATCACGTTTTGTACCTTGGTGACAAGCAGGACTGAGCAGACCAAGCGGGCCAGGGCAAACATAGTGATAATGTCCTTTTGTCTCTCCCAGAGTCGCCTCCTGTATGTCCAAAACCAAAAGATTCATTAAAAAAAGAACGACGGTGATGTGCATATGTCATTCCATTTTGGCGCTTTGCTTTTGTAGCCATCAGAAGGAAAAAAGACAGTGTAAACACAAGTCAACTAAGAAGGTGGCAAGGGGGAACAATCGAACCAAGTGTGAAAGCACCCTTAATGTTCAAAATGCGATCATGTCATTTGACATTAAATTTGATCAAAACTACATTTAAAATGGTCTGAAATCAAAAGCCGAGACTTTATTTTAAAAGGAAAAATAACCTTGGATGTCAGATTCCCTATAAATAATACTTTTTTGAATTTTTCTTTGTCCCTCCTCAAAGTAACAGCAATAAAAGAACTTGCAATAAAACGTCCTCCCACATGCACCTTCAGTAGTTTGTTGTTGCTATTCTGTCTGTTTTTTATTTTTTATTTGAATCAACAGCCCAGTTCAGTTTTAAGCCCTTTTAGACAAACTGGTTAGTGCAAAAGCAATGATAAGCTTGTTGGAGCCATGCATACATGATTTGTAGTAGAAGAAATTGCTCTGCTCACTTATAATGCATGCCTCATGTGCTGATGACAAATTTATGTCACATGAATCCGAATGTATACTCAAAATGAAAGTAATTTGGGCTTAAACCTTAAGAACAGCGGTTCTGATCCAAAGAGTCAATGTTGACATGTTTGACTGCACCACTGTTATAACTTTTCAATCTTAGTTGAAGCTCACATGTGGTTGAAAAAGCAAGTCTAGAGAACAGCTGTGAGAGAAGAATGGCTTTCTCTTTATCTCTTTTTTTTTCTCCCCTCCCTCTGAACAATGAGAGCCATCTGACAACAATGAGCGAATGTTTCTGCCAGCGCTCAGTCAGTCCTAATCCTGATTTAATGTCCTTTTCCCTCATCACCACCAATGGGCTGCTTGTAATCCTCTGTCTTGCCTCCCCCCTTGTTAGCAGCCTCATTTGAGGGTCAGAGGTCATTGACAGGGAGGGTTGATGTCATTAGTGTGTTGAACCATTAACACTTTTATGATGCTCCTGTTTTTTTTTTTTACATCATTTAATATAATGCGCTTTTTCAATATCGTTTCTGGATTGTAAAATGTTGATTTCTGCTGTTTGCCTTGATGTGTGCAGAGATCAGCGGATGCTTTTGAGCAGGAGGTGCGAGAGAGAGCCACCTTGTTACAGACTGACTTTGAGAATTATGTTCATGCCAGTAACGAGTCTCTGCAAACTGCGAAGAGCGGTGAGATGAAATGCTAATCACCTTGAATAGTTAACTGTTTAACTGGTAGTGCAGCCCTAGTGCAACCCTAGTATATACACATACTGTATGTACAGTGCTCAGCATATATGAGCATATGAGTACACCCCTCATATATACAATATTATATTTGTGCATATACATTAGATTAACTTATGATAACGGTCCAAAAACTAGTACACCCAAATGTATATGTTATAGAAAAATATTAAATACAAATGTAAAAAAAGAGGAAAAATCAAGAGAAGCTAAAAAAAATTGAGTTGAAATTTTGCAGGATGTAATTTGTTTTTGCAATATTTTACTTGAGTTGAATTGTATCATCTTTCATTTTCTAAATATGCTTGGTGACTAAAATATTATTTTAATAAATTTACCTGTTTAATAAATCTGTTTTGTTTAAATGTACCAGAATACATTGTCTTTATTCACTGAGAAATTAATAAAAATATACATTTTTAAAATGGGGTGTACTCAGTTATTCTGAGCACTGTATGTCTTCGACTTGGAATTGTACATTTCTACCTGACATTTTTGTTAAAATTGAGTTATTCACATATTATTAGCCTCTAACTTTGAATTATTATTGTTTTATTGTTATTTATTTTGGCAATCTAGATTGTGATCATTTAAAATGTTTGCATAATAATAAAACATCAGTGACCCTGGACCACAAAACGTCATAAGTGTCTGTTTTGGTTTAGCTTTTTAGATTTATTGAGGAATTGAGGTTTACATCAACTGAATGCTAAATACAAAATCTTTACATTGATGTATACTTTGTTAGAATTGAATGATATTCTACAAGATACAACTCTAAATATTGAGAAAAATACCCTTTAAATTGGTTTAAATTAAGTGCTTAGCATAATCTACTCAATGCATAATACTAGTTTTTATTTAACTTTTATCTGTAGGAAATTTACTTATTTACTTACTTAATATCTTCATCAGGGTATCTGCAGGCAGGGTCTTAAAAAGTCTTAATGTTATAAATTTAAAAAAACATTTTAGGCCTTAAAAAGTGTTAAATTCACTGATATATTGTCTTGTAGGTCTTTAATAATTTTAAACAGGGTTTTATTGTCCTTTGTTCGTGTAAAGCTACCCAATTGATCCAACACATCAAATCACCAACATTACAGCTTAATAAAACCTATTTACTTATATTTATTATAACTTAAATATATTTATATTTAAAGCTATATTCATAACTAAGATTATAACAGTCGGTTGTCCATACATTTAGTTTTTAAAGAGATTTTTATGTTGAAAAATTGTACAGATGTTTTTTTGATGGGGGCAACTACATTTTATTTCTGCTGACCAATTAATAAAATCCTCAGTGTTCAGCTCTATTTAATATTTAATTTTTCATGGTCTTAAATTTGACTTGGCGAAACCTGCCGAAACCCTGTTTATGGATTATAATTTTTTCTAAACATCCTAATGATTTTTGGCATAAAATAAAGTTCAATAAATTTGATTTGTACAATTTTTTGCGGGCTATTGCCAAAAAATACCTGTGTATTTTGTACTGTAAAATCTCTCATTCAGCTCCAATGCAAATGTGTAAAGAATTTTTGCATGTTTACTTCGTCAATGTTAATTGTATTAGTTGAAAAATAAGTCAAGCACATTTCAGAAAACATTTCTGGTACAGAAAAATTAATATAGAACATTAAAGCACAATTAAAAGTTTTTTTTGTTGATTTATTGCATTTGTATCCTTTTAATTACTTGAAAATGTTTACTGTCTGTTCTGTACAGTAAGTGTTTTTCTTTTTGCTCCCGTAGCACTGCAGTGTTTCTTGAGAGCTTATACCACATACCCATCCAGTCTAAAGCACATCTTCCACATCCGCATGCTGCACCTGGGCCACGCTGCTAAGAGCTTTGGCCTGAGGGACGCACCCCAGGGCCTGGCCAGCTCCATAAGCACTAATCCTGCCAACAGCAAACACTCCAAGAAGGCCAAAGACAAAGCCAAGAGGTACTGCAACTTCTCAAAAATTGGACAGTCATTTATTAATCTGTCAAACAGTTTGCTGTGCCAGAGAGTATGATCTAGTTTTGCTTTTAAATAAATTTAGCTGGGTTGTGTTTGATGATACATTTTCTTCTGTGGTTTCTAAAACTTTTGGGGGGAATCTTTAAACTTAAAACTTTCTTTTTTTTTTCTTTTTTTTTTACCTCGACAAAAATATTCTGAAAAGTTTCTTGAGCAGGAATCCAGAGGAATAACGTATTATTTTAAAATTATATTAAATAGGGATATTTCTATTAAATATTTTTATTTAATTTACCTTATTTTAACTTTCAACAACTGTTAACAAACAGAGCACTTCTGTGAGGTAGCTTGAACAATCAAGTAATGAATAACATAAATTCTTTACTTTTGGACTTTAGTGCAACAGTAAATAAAAAAATCTAATAAAAACAAACTTCACCTCAACTTAAAATACCTGGCAGGTTTACATCCCAAGTTTACATATCTCACAGTCATGTTGTCACCATCTACTTTGTAAAACCTCCAGACCACAGACATACTCATGCTTTCTGCTTCAAGCTGCTTCTGTGTTCTACTTTGCCAGCATTTAACTAATATCATCTCTACAACAAAGTGATGTCATGCTGCACAAGTTGCTGTTTCTGTGTGAAGTCAAGAAAGAAGTCTAACTTTGTGCCACCGCATAACTATAGATGTGTTAAAAAATAATGACAATATATATAATATACATATATATTCAAGTCCTGATTGGGAAGCAATGTCCGATTTTGATCGAGTCTAAAACCGCGTGATTAGGCCCAATTTGGACATCCTTAATATTAAGCTAGAAAAATTCATTCAACTTTTTTATTGTAACAATAGCTAGTTTCAATCTTAACATAAAGTGTATCTATTCTGAGAAAAAAGATTAAAGAAAGGGAATAAATCCTAAATGCTAAATCAGTCCATCAAGTTGTTAGAGCAGCTGACTGTAATATTGGTAACCTTTGCTACATCAGTCATTTTTAACTACATTGGTAACATTTAATCTTCCCTACATCAGGGTTTATTTGGCAAATGTATTTCCATCTCCCATTATTTACATTAACCCTTTCACACAAGCCCAAAACCACTTCAAATGAGCATTAAAACTCGTAGGGAATTTAGGAATTTTTTATTGGAAATATGGCATTTTCATCACTTGTATCTTTTGCAATACTTCAGTTAATGACAAAATGTTTCAATTAAGCAAACTAAATACTGCCCGTTTAATATAATGAACAAAGCAACAATTCTTGATCTCATTCTTGGGATTTTCAAATCCAAATTGAGTCAATAAATTTGGTACTACATGCTGTAGAAAAAGAATATAGGAAATTATATATATGAGCAATATCACACGAGTAGCAGTGCGATATTGTGTTTATACAATAGTTTGACGGCATAATTGTGTATATGAAAACAAAATCAAACATGGAGAGTCTCAAAAACCCTTTTGTATATGGAACTACTTTCTTACACATTGGATTCAAATCATAAGCTGACAGTTAAAACAGTTGAGCAAGCATCTTTTAAACTTTAGATCTGTAGTGTCTGCTTTTTGCTATCTATCTATCTATCTATCTATCTATATATATATATATATATATATATATATATATATATATATATATATATATATATATATATATATATATATATATATTTATTTATTTATTTATTTTTTTTTAAATCAACTACATACTAAAGTATTAGTACGTTTTACAATTCCTAGCAAAAAGGGAAGAGTTCTATCAAGTAAAAAAAAGCCTGTGTAAAACCACCAGCATTGTTCATTTTAACCCCTTATTAGAGCCATTTTGTTGGACATTGTTTTACTGTAAGTGTGTTTTCATGATGGCCATGAAAATCATCAGCATGACTGCGCTGGAGAAAAGCCCACAGTTTGCACATGCTCTTGGCAGCTGTGAGCCTTTCGCCGTCGCAGAGCTCTTCGGGGTCAAAGAGGACTAGTCAAGTCCTGCCTTTACCAGCTGTACAATTTACCTTTCGCCTTTCACACACTCACCTCTCTCGCTTTCCCTCCACCACCTTTATGCTGTGATGTACTCACAAAGCCTATTGAAAAATACATCCTTTAGAAAGAGCTGATTCTGTTGCTTTCTATTTATGGCATTTTCTTGTGTCTGTGAGAAAGTAGGTTTGTCATATTCTTTGGAAAATAGGTTTTCAATTGCAGTTGATGTTAAGCAAACGTATTTGCTATTTTATTCTTGTATAGTTCATTTCTCACAAACCTATAGTTTAGTAGTTTCACTTTAAATATATATTTTCAAACTTGATGTTTGTAGTGAATGTCTCCTATTATTACAGTTAATTATAGAAATACATTTTTGTTACTTTTTTTCTAACTTTAGCATTTTATGCATATGTTGTGGAGTTGGCAGAGGCCCAAATTAAAAAAGAGGCACTGTTTAAAAAAAAAACACACACACACACAACAAAAATATGTGCAAAAAATATATATTATAACATTACAAAGATAATAAAAAATGGTCAGTAAATGCACTTCAAAACAATGTGAAGACTGTGTGAAAAGTCAGAATCATAAACCTAATATAGTATATTAAAAAAAGCATTATTAGGGCGGCATGGTGGCGTAGTTGGTAGAGATGTCGCCTCACGGCAAGTTCAAGACTCAGCTGGGTCAGTTGGCATTTCTGTGTGGAATTTGCATTTTCTCCACGTGTTCTTGTGGGTTTCCTCCGGGTGCTCCAGTTTTGGGTAAGCATAATTACTATAATGTGTGTGTTTGAATGTAAGAATGTATGGGGGTTTCCCAGCGATGGGTTGCACCTGGAAGGGCATCTGCTGCGTAAAACATATGCCGGATAGGTTGGGGGTTCATTCCGCTTTGGCGACCCCTGTTTGGTAAAGAGACTAAGCCAATAAAAAAGAAAATGAATGAATGAATGATTAGACCATTATCGTAACATTAACAGCATTGGTGCCCAAACTCAGTCATGGAGGACCGGCATTTGTTATTAAGACTTTAGCCTAAGAGCAAGCCTAGTTAGAGCTTGATTGCGGGGCAATGACACTCCAGGACCAAGTTTGGGCATCCCTGAGTTAGTGTTTTGTCTGTCAATACATAAAAATAGCCTAAACGTTGTCATAAGCCCCTTTCACACATACAGACCTTTCCGGAAAATTGCCGGCAATTTTCCGGAAAGGTTGTATGTGTGAACAGGTCCTTTTTGAAAATACCGGTAAATTCGTTCTGGCTATTTTCCGGAAAGAGAAAATGTAACATTACCGGCAATTTGCCGGAATGCTGCGCTGTGTGAATGCAGAAGGAAGATTCCCGTAATAAGCGCGTGCACGTCTAGAACGTGCTGACGTGAGACGTCTGCTTTAGCCAATCACAACAGTCAGACGCATTTACGTCCGCGCGGTTTGTGAGGATAAAAGCCTTTGAATATTTTTCCAGACACATTTAGCTGCTAGAAGTTAGTCAGATCACGTTTATATGTTCTTCTTAATGCCAACTGTGTAAATAATCATCGATGAGATGCTTATGATAAGCCGTTGTTTGTTTACCTTCAAGCTTTGCGTGCGCCTATGAGCGCCTGCACACGCACATTATGAACATCTCGACATGCAAAAGTGATCCTGCGAAAGTTGTTCACAATATTGATCATCCACAGAGTTTGTAATTTAGTCAAATGTTTACAAACACAAGCGCTGCCGTTTAAAGCTCATTTGTGGTGAATGATGTCAGAATTTACCGGTATTTTGGAATGGATTTGTGAATGCTCTTTTCCGGAAAATTTCCGTAACGTCCTCAACTGTGTGAACAGCACTTTTTTCAATATACCGGTAAAGTCGTTCCGGAAATTTTCCAGATATTTACCGGTATCACTGTGTGAAAGGGACTATAAATTACCTTTTCCATTAAGGGACCATTTTGCCATTAAGTGGTGTCAGTTCACTATCTTATGCCACAGGCACACTAAAGTTTGAACATGCTATATTCTGTCATGCAGCACTGCGAAAAGGGGTGGGATTAAACAACATGACTAGATGTTTTTTTAAAAAAAAAATTGGTCCATATTTTAAATTTGTGTCCAGAGGTCATGTTTTGAGTTTTCAGAGTTAACCAAGCTTGAGCTTTGCAATGCAGCGAACTGTGAAACTTGTCACTTGAGCTTGCATTTCATGAATGGAAGTCGAAAAGTGCAGTGTGATCGTGGCTCTAACATTTGAGTCACAGAATTTTTGTTATTAAATTGATTCATTCAAAATACAGATTCAATCAGGTATAAAACACCATGTTCATTTGTTCTGTTTTGTTTTTAGCTTTTTAGTGACGAACAATTTGCAAAAAAAATTAGATTTTGACAAGACCATGTATAAAATCTAAATAAATAACATCGTGTTTATTGAACTAATGAATGAAATCAATATGACACTTGCAAATGTGCTAATAGACCATTTAAGAAGAAAACACTTATGTCATGTTGTTAAAATAACTTTTAAGAATTTGCTTCCATATTTTTAAATTTGGGGTATTTAAATCAATTTAGATGCCATTTTGCCGCACACTCCTGGAGGTGTGGTAAAAACATATTTATGTTAACATGACAAACATATCTATTTGTTTATTAATATTTTTGGTTGCCAGCCCATAAGTACCTCAGACTTGTATTCACCATACATAAGCAGAAATCATCATTGTGTTAATATAATATTAATTGTGAAGTAAAGTTCTATTCTTGTCCACTTGAGCCCTAACAGGAGGAATAAAGGAGTTAACAACCCCACCTTCAGATATAAGCCAGTTAATACAACCATAAAAATTGTTTTATGTAAAGTAATTCAAACAGCAGTCAGGAACACATCCACTCTTTCCTAGTCCATCATTTGTGTTGAGAAATGAGGCATGTGAATAATTGTGGTAAGAATTAGAGCTGCTCAATTGTTTCAGCATCAATATCGCTATG